CTCAGTCAAACTGAACTGAAACTCCAGCTGAATGAAAAAGACTGCATCACAGAGCACTACACACAGAGCAACAAAAACTTTAAATAAACACAAAAAAAATAAAAATTTTTTTTTTTTTTGTTCCTGGCACTGGGAACTTATCCAAACAGGATTTATAAGGAAGTGGAGACAGGTGGAACCAGTGAGAGTAGACAGGCAGGGTGGAGTTGAGCAGGTGTCCCAAGTTCAGGATTAGGTCAGCACCAGTGCCGAGATCGTCACAATTGCAATGTGTTCCTTTACATCAGAGGTCACAGATTACCAAACCGCAGTCCAGATCCAGACCGCCGCTTCTCCTGCTAATATGGTAAAGGCCTCCTGGAGCGACCAGGACCAGGCTACACATGAAACAAATTACCCAATGAGCTGTGTCAGTCTGGGTCAGTGTGGCGAGCCACTTTTAGACACAGCAGCTAAACCTGTGGCAAGCTGGGGGATGGGAAAGAAGGAGAATATGATGAGAAAAAGAAAGCAGGAAGGTTTGGACTGCTGGAAGAGCTGGGGTGAACTGAAGTCAGAAAAGTGAAATGGCATGCTCATAGATGACCCTGCACATTTTGAGTATGTTTTGCTCAACCTGCTGCTGTAAAGCAGGATTCTCCACCATAAATACAATCAAAAATAAATATCGACCCAGGCTCAAGAATGAGCACCTTGATATGTGCTTGATAATGACTTTGTCTCCATTCAAACCCAGGTTTAAAGCCTTGCAGGTTGCTGCTTTCATTAAGCAATAAAAAATTTAAAAATTCAATGTATAACATAAATGCATAAAAACCTCATTTTATTTCAGTGTGAAATTATGTTTAAAGTAAAAAATAATAATAAAAATGTCTCTGGACCTTTAGTGATTGAGGATTTTCTTTATTCAGACCCTGGTGATTTTTAGTTGGTTACCCCTGTTTTACACCATGAACACATGGAGTAAATTTTACAAAACACAACTTATTTTCTTTTGTTTTTACTTTATTTTAATTGGATT